ACAAAGTGTAGAAGTGATCACAGCAGGGGATATCTGCTTTAAATTATACCCCTAATATAGATGTTGGTAACAACATACTCTACTCATAATGTACCTCCCTTACTGTTGACCTGGTAAGTGCAATGCACCATAAAAGAAACAGTGAGTGGGAATGTCAGCAGAACCTTTCCCATATGTGCTAAATCTTGATGACCAAGGAATGATTATAGCTCTCACCGTTCAGTGGGTTAGCGCAGTTAGCACAGTTGCACTTCCCAGAAAATCTCAACTGTGTTGGCTACTGGCTCGTAATTTAGTTTTTTGTAATAGCATTTAAGGATACTCTTTTGAGTTCTGTTTGCAATGGGAAAAGAACTTCTAGTGTCATACGGAAATGTCTTGATCTTCTTCTATCATTCCCTTTTACTTAAAGAGGATTAAATCGAAATCCAGCTTGATCAGCACGTAACCAGCAGAGGGGGCCAGACATTAAGTTCTTGCTGCTACTGCAGGAATCGGTTCAGTCAGGGAATGTGTGTCTGCTTTCCAACCTGGAATACCAGAATTGTCTGTCTGTGGGACCCTCCAAGTCATTAAAAAATTAGGGGTTTTTGTCAATTATTCTATTTGTTTCATATTTCCTAAACAAATAAAAAACTAAAATAGAATAATAAGTTTGGGTTGAAATTTGCAAAATAGTAATGAAAATAATGACTTCTTTTTGTCATTTCTTTCACCCCACTATTTAAAAATCAATGCATTTTCATATTTCTATGGAAATCTTCTGTAAATGTATGAGCTATGAGTTTTCTGAAAGCAGCTCAATTCAAAGCCAGATCAGATAGCTTTAGCTCTTCAGATTCATATATACTGACAGCATATAATGCAAATATTCAGTTCTCTTTGGCTTGCAATAAAGAGCACAGAAAGAAAGACAAGATAAACACTTTTTCTGTTGTTTCACTTTTTCAGCTGTAATGGAATTGATGTTGAAAACCCATAGCTTTAGAGTAGAAGTTGTTCCACTACAAAGTTCTAGGAGTACTTTTAGAATTAGTCATGTTTGAACTATGACTTGCAAATTAGATGTCTCTGAGGTTATGCCTCTGTCAAACATAAGTTGTCAGACAGGAATTACTGGATGAGATTCTCTGACTTCTAACGTGGGGGAGATTAGACCACTTAGTGTAATACTCCTTTTAGCCTCAATATCTATGACTTTGAACTTTTCTTATTTAGATTTACTAGATGCATAACCCTTCTCCGGTATAAAAGCAAGACACTATATATTAGAAGAAAAGGTCGAAGGAAAAAGAAATTCAGGCTTTAACGGAACACTTCAAGGAAAGAATTAGAGAATTGAAGAACTGAGAATGCTGATAATGATAGGAAGTTTTGCTGTTAGTGCATGACAATTCCAGGACACTGAATGCTAGCTTCTAATCTAAGTGCCATGTGATTGCAAGACAAGAAGGGTAGCAGCCCTTGAGGGCATGAACTCAGTCAGTCAGTCTTCACCTGGATATTAATTGGAAGCCAGAGGACAAATCATGTGTCTCGTATCATCTTTCAGAAGTGTCATTTAGCATATAGAAAAACACATGCTCTATCAGCAGATCATGTTGAGTAGTTCCCAAACTTTGCAAAATATAGAAGTTGCTGTATTAATTCATCTTACAGGTGTGAAAGTGCAGTTCATAGACTTTAATTCTCTCCCATGCTGACTCCAACTTATAGAGGACAGAAAGGCAGTAGAAGAAAATCCTGACATCCCTAATATTAGGTAGCTCTGGTGTAAGAGAGCAAGTCACCTAAAATTCCCTAGAAAAGTTTGAAAGACTAAAGAATGGAGCCACTAAAGAGTGACTCCATCTATCACTGCAGGGAACCACAGAAGTGGTCAGCCTCCTTGGAGACACTGATAAATTTAAGGAAAACAGCATGAATACTTTGGTTGTTATCCAATGCCAGAAGGAAGTCACAGTCTAAAAACCCGCTGCCCAGAAAGAGGTCAGTTAGTGGTGTTTGAGTTATGCAGCACACTAGTTCTCTTTAGAAATGGGGAAAGAAAAATAAATCTTAAAATTATGGTCCAGAATCTACTGAGGCTCTGCATATATGGACTTTAAAAGCCCCAGCCTCTGAGGGGAAGTATGAAAGGCTGGCTGCCTTCCAAAGCCTCAGACAAATCCGACCCAAGGCTCTCAATGACTGGTGCAAGGGTGCATGGTTGTGAAAGGTGGTCAGTGCACTTTAGCGTCTATATTGCAGGGCTCAACAACTGGTTTATTAACTTCTGACCCAAGTACACATGCCCTATTTTACTGGCAGTAATACATTGTCTAGGGTGAGGGAGAAGGTGCCGATGAGACAAAGAAAAAATGTGGGTAGTACTGCCTTTAGTAGCAGTAGTTTGTGTATGTTCTGGGGCCAAGAATAGTTGCAGAGTGAAATTTTACAAACACAAATAGTTCATTGTTTCAATAATGTTCATTTGTTTTTATACTGATGTAATAAAAGACTTTGCTGAGTATTATAACCTACAGATTTGTATCATTGTGTCAAGACATGTTTTGACACATTAGACTTCAGCTAACACATTTCCCATCCATTATTGTTTCTAGCAACAGATGTATTATTTTAATTACTTCCCTTATTCTACAGGGAGACCGTGGCCCACAGGGACCTCCTGGCTTGCCTGGTGAAGATGGATCAAGAGTAAGTTGCTATTTACACAGTAAAATCTAGAGTGAATCCTCATGTAATGGGAATATGGTCATGATACATGTTCTTTTTTTCTAAAACTTCTACTCCCTTTGTACAAAACCAGGGAGAAGATGGGGAAGTTGGACCAAGAGGTCTCCCAGGTGAAGCTGTAAGCAATGTTTTCTTATTCTTCTGTTTCTGTTACAAATAAGTCACACTCAGCTTTTTTTCCTTTCTATTGAACTGTTGTGAATTCCAGGTATAAAAATTACTGCATGTGTGTGTATATATAGAGTACTGATTCTGGCTGAAAAGCAAACAAATTAACAGTTTTGTTAGGGGTGAAGCACTACTTACAGGATTAGAATTAAGTCAGAGACATATCCAGCCAAGTATACACAACTTCCAGAACCACAAAGGCTATTTCCTATCCTGTTGTATAAAATCAGTCACTGCAGTCCTTGATACATGAGACTATAACCAAGCCCCTGTTGCTTTGAAAATGTTTTCCAAACACCCATTTATTAGAAAATAAGGCCTGCCTTCTCCTCTTTTTTCATACTACTGTGCTTCATTGTGTATTTTTACACTTGTTTCACATACATAATTTCCACTGCTGTCAGTTGGAATTCTGCAGGTGCTGTCACTGCAGAGCAGAGTTCTGCATTGCAGGCAAGAAATCAAGCCTCAGAAAGGGAAATTTACCCTAACCTCTATACTGCTTCCTACTTGCAAAGTAGGAAGAAGTTGCTACAGGGTCAGAGTTAATGATTTGTGACTGTATCATACATGAGGAGACTGGGGATTCAGTCCTGCCTACTTCAGCAGCTGACATGAATGATAACACAAATGATGAAAACTAATATTCATTTACACAGTATAAAGCCAATAGATTATGTTATAGACCAAATCTTGCACACCTTATTTAGGAGAATAGCCTTTGGTCTTTTGTGGAATTTTTTAGGGGTAAGAGGAACAAATCTGATTTTGGTTTCCAGGATGCCTTGCATTTATTATAATAAAATTATTAGTAATTTTTAATTATTTATTTGACAACCCTGTTTTTCACTTTGTAGTAGTATAGAGTATGACAGACCATCACATTTTTTAAAGATAGGAATGCAAATGTATGCTACTATTCAGGTCAGACCTTCAGGCCAAGACAGAGCTGAAACTTTAGTGGAAGATGCTGTGCCAGTGTTGTGCACCAGGAAATATAAATAGTTATCTCCTACTGTTCTCTGAAATGACTATACAGCGGCTAAATCAAAGCTTGCCCTTCCACTGACATTCTGTTCAGATGTATGGTGGCCTTCAGGAGAATCTGTTATCAGTTAACTTTCTTCCTTCCTCTTCCCTCTTCCCTCTTCCCTCTTCCCTCTTCCCTCTTCCCTTTCCTTCCTCAACCCCCATGATGCCTTCCCCTCATCCTTCCAACTCCTTAAGACATTCCTTGCCCAGTCCTGCTCCTGGGACTCTCTTTGTTCAGAAAAAATCATGCAGGTGTTAATAGGTGTTTTTTCTCTTACAGGGTCCACGGGGATTACTGGGCCCCAGAGGTACACCTGGTCCCCCTGGACAACCTGTACGTATGAACTGTTTTGTGTTTGCGATTTTCAGAAGAAGAATGGAAGTCCACTGAAAGTTGCTCATGTTTATATTGTTTATTGTAGGGCATTGCGGGTGTTGATGGACCTTCAGGCCCAAAAGGAAACATGGTGAGTAAGTAAGCGGGGAATTAAAAAGGGAGTAGATTCCAAGAATGCCTTCCACATTCTCTCGTCCCTGCCACTATGCCATCCCTTCCATTTAATTAAACTTTCCTGTCAAAATAGTCAGATTCATTATGATCTTACATAGTAAAGAGAAGCCTTCTGTTAACTGGGTTTCAGCCAAAAGGCCTAACCATGCTTTCTCTCAAGCTCCTTTAGCACCATGGACTCCAGTGCTTAGGTCCTATATGTGGGCTGTTATTCTCTATTAAAGAAAAGGCCATGATATTCATTAGCATGAAAAAATATCACACTGGATAGAAAGTTGGTGGTGGACTTTAAAGAGGGAGGAATAAAGATGAATTTGTATTACTTTTAGTCCTGACAATGAAGATCTGTTGTGTAGAAATGCAAACCTAATCCCCTGGTATGTTTTTGCATGGTAGGGTCCTCAAGGGGAACCAGGACCTCCTGGTCAGCAAGGAATCCCAGGCCCACAAGTAAGTGTAAAATAGCTCTCAAGAAATACGATGTAACATGCAGCAAATGTTTAATAAATGGAAATTACTAAATGGTTAGCTTTTCGTGTGCAAAACTGATAAAGCTTCAAGAATTTTATAAATAATGCTGCAAATGTGCTGAGGGCAGTGGGAGCAGAGCTTTCAAGTAAGCTTTCAGAGGGATTTTTCATTCAGGAGAAAAATGACTCATTCAGTGTTCCTGGAATGCAGCAGGAACAGCCACACCTGGAGGAGGGTTCTGAATAGGATCTTGTTACAGACCTCCTGCAAGAATAGTGGCTTGTGCAAAAGGCTCACACAAAACTCTTGATCTAACTTGTAAGGGGGGGAAAAAAAGCTACTTATATTTGCCAGTGTGTTTAAACAGATTAATGAGGGACCTTTACTAGGGTGAATGTATGTATATTGTTCTTCCTGGTTTCTCACACTGGTTTCTTTTTAATAGGGGCTTCCTGGTCCGCAAGGTCCTATTGGACCTCCTGGTGAAAAAGTAAGTTACAGAATTATTCTGGTATTTCACAGTGAGTTCTGTGCAACGACCTTGGTAATGTTCTTAAGGGCTTCGCTATGTTTTACGGAATAGTAACCTAAGATCTAAAAATTAGCAGATCTTCCTGAAATCATGAAGTAAATGAATAATCAATGGAGGCCTGGCTTTCCCCTCATATACATTTTATTCACAAGTAAAATTTCCTCCTTTTATTTTGGATTAATTTTCTGTTATTAGCTTCAGAATCCCATCTACAATATTAAACAGCGTGTACTTGTATGTTAATTAATTTCACAGCAAGCTGTGAAGATTACTTCTGTTAATCTGTTCTTTACAGCACAGTTTAACCTACACAAGTCTGATTCTGTTCTCTTTCTTCAAGTATTATATTTTGTCATAACTCTACAGCGTAATTGGCATACTGTAGTGGGACTTGGTTTTTTTTTTCCCTGAATTATTTTTTTGTACATGTTCTTGTGGTTTGAAACATGTCTTCTGTTAATTTCTAATATGTCACTATTGAATTTTATGCTGATTTTATTTTTCTCCCCTTCAGTGCTGAATTCCTGGTCTGTTGGTTCTTCTTTAATTTTGCTTCCCTGTACTGTTTAGTATATACTTCAGGAGAAATTGAAGGACATTTTAGTAAACAATATACATGCTTTTTACTTGCCTGTCTGCTTAAGAAGTATTATTCTAGCAAAATGGGCTAGGTCCACAATATATGCATTCCAGAGGCTTTCACAAAGATGTACCACGCCTTTCAGCTAGCAGTGCTGGAGTTCTGTAACATGTACTCTTTGCCTATTGATCTTGTTGGTATTTTTCATATGGTGAATCCTTTTATTCCTGAAATTCTGAATAATGCTTAATTTTGTACACTGGAGAATTCTTCCCTACCTTGTGTTGTGTGTGTGCATGTTCATAGGGCAATTCCTTATGCTTGTTCTCAGGCAAGCACTGTACTGAAAAATACAGGTGATTTGTATTGGCTAAAGATTGTAAGAGCTGGTATGCACTTACACATTGTATGATAGTATCTTTCTGGGTTTAGTTTTGTTATATTTTTGGTTTATCCTTGAAATCCATATCCAGGGGTTGAGGTATAACTACATTTTATATCCTTAGCTCTTAGAGTTAAAAGTATTGGATATGGGTGGGGTGGGTTTTTTTCCTTTTTCTTTCCTTTTTTTATTTTTAATTATTATTATTTTTCTTATAGCTACTCTACACCTGGGGTGGGTTTGCCAGTTGTTTTAACAGAGATTAAAATACTAGAAAGATTTAATGTAGTTTGCTGGTTTAGGACATACCAGTCCTCAGCAAGGGTGTTCCTCCATCATCCTGGCAAATGATAAAATGTTCACTTTTTTTCTTAAGATGTATCTCTGTTCCTGCATTTAGGGACCTCAAGGCAAGCCTGGCCTTCCTGGCCTTCCTGGTTCCGATGGGCCTCCTGTAAGTAACCAAACATTTCATCACTTGAATGTTTAAATACTTTTACCAAGTAATAGATATTTCTGGATACCTGCGTTGCAAAAAGAAAATGGAGAGTAAAAGCACTAGTAGTCCTATCTGGCATTATAAAATCCATCTAAACATAAAATCCATCTAAAACCCCTGTATCTTTTGAGCTGTTAAAACTAAGAGAATGACATTTTTGAAGCAGCTGCTAAAAGTGGCTGTGGGCTTTTAAAAATGTGGCCCCAGATGAAGACATGCATCTGAAACATCTGCAAGAATGTGGAAATAACCTAACTGACACACTAAGGGCCAGATACTGTTTCACTGTAGTCCTACTATGTCAATATGGCAAAGGAAATCATCTATAAAAATGCTCACGCTTGTTTTCTGAGGAAACATAGACTAGATCTTTCTCTGCTTCCTGACCTAAGGTGCGTATTACATATTTGGGCTGCTTCTGTCATTGTCTCCAGTGGGACAGACCTAAGCCAAACCTTAGAATCTTGTGATCGCAAAGGAATTCAGCTTAGCTCTGAGGATGCATTCACTCATGTGAACAGAGAGTGTAATCACCTGAGTAGCATTGCTTACAGTTCAGGCATTAAACTTAAATCGAATCATTGTTCCTAATGACATGCATATACATTAGTGTTCTTGCATCAAAAACATTGATTTTTTATATCACCAAGAGCCATTAGACAGTGTGACTTCTCAGACTGTCTCTCTCCTCCCCATACCATTTTGCCTTACAATTTTTCTTATTAGGTTAAATCTGCGTTTTTTTAAACCTGACTTTCAGCAGTTTCATGGAGAGTGTTAAATATGCAATGATAGTCCAGCTGGAAGTCTCTATCTTGAATCATTTTCTAAACATTTTAACTTTCCCCCTTATTCTTTTCTGCATGCTGGAAACAATATTAATTTCAAAACTTAAGCATTATTTTAAAACCTGCACCTTGTTAAACCTTAAAAGCTGGGGGTAAATGCTGTAAGAGATATTTGGGTGTTAGCACAGGTCTGTACCTGATATAAACCCTTGCTGTGGTGGGTTGACTCCAGTCAGCAGCTAAGCACCCAGCCAGTCACTTGCTCACTTCTCCCACAGCAGGATGGGGGAGACAGTCAGAAGATTAAAAGCAAGAAAACTCATGGGTTGAGGCAACAAGAACTTAATAAGTGGAGCACAGCTACACACACAAGCAACGCAAAATAAGGAATGCATTCACTACTTCCAATCTGCAGGCAGATGGCTAGCCACTTGCTGGAAAGTTTGGGTTCAGTACATGTAAGGGTAACTTGGGAAGACAAACACTATAACCATGAATGTCCCTGCCTCCCTTCTCCTTTTCCTGAGCTTTTATTGTTGAGTATGACATCATATGGTATGGAATATCCCTCTGGTCAATTTGGGACAGCTGTTCCAGCTGTGTCCCCTCCCGGCTTCTTTCCCACCACCAGCCTACTCACTGAGGTGTTAGAATGGGACAAAGAGAAAGCCTACACAGTGTACAAGCACTGCTCAGCAATAGCCAAAACACTGGTTTTGTTATCAACACAGTTTTAGTCACAAATCCAAAACACAGCATCATATGGGCTGCTATGAAGAAAATTAACTCCATCCCAGCCAGACCCAGTACCCCTACCGAAAATTATCTCCCTCATGCACAAGTAGGTTTGTTCAGAGGAAGGGCACGTTACACTAAGTCCATTCTAATTGGCATGACCTCTTTACAACCATAGAATTACACTAGTGATTAAAGGCAATGGGCAGTGTCTTCCTTATTACAATGAGCTTTGTAACTGCCTCTGTGATATCTATGTTAGGGTCAGGTGAAAGCTCAAGAGTGTGTTTTCAGGAGATCAGGAAAATTCTTGCTATGCTATTTCATTTCACTTCCGTGTGGGGAAATGTCCTTCTATTTTGAAGGTAAGACATTGTTAAAAGTGGTATATTATACCGGAATTAATGGAAATCTAAAGGGATACAAATATGCTCATTAATAGCAGCATTTTAAAAGTAATTTAATGTTATAGAGATCTCTGATACTGGATGGAGACTTAAAATTTTGCACAGAAGAAAGCATATTCTAGGCGATTAGGATTAAACAACTGACATACATATGTTTTAAAACACAAATAACAAATATTCAATGATAGTAAGACAAACTCTTTCAAGGAAAATTAACACTTGCTGGTAAGCAAGTATCAAATACTTTGAATCATTCTTTTGTTAAAGAACATATTTTAAACCATTTTCCAAGGCCAGAAAATTCAATATAAGCACCACGGGTTAGTCATATAAAATTAACAGCCACATCAAAGTCATATCATATTAAACACACTAAAAACATTTTGGGATGTCAGTAACACTAAAACATTAATGGTTTTAGTAAATGGCTACATGTTATGTGGGGCCACATGCTTGGGAAAACTAGAGATTTACTATGCTCCTCTGATAACACTGATGAACATCAACAGGAGTCCTGACTGATTGTCATAAACAATAATCTTCTATTAACCTTTAATTTCATTAAATTGCCTTGAAATTTTGCAGCATTTTAGTGTAAATTTTGTAAGAAACAAAAACAATGGATTGGTTAATGTTTTGAGTGCCGCAGTACTAATACCAGTGATGTAGAACAAAGACTAAGACATAAACATATTTTGTTTTAAAAGCAAGTCACAGTTTAAAACAAAGATAGAATGTTAAAACTAGATCAGACTTCTGTTGGCTTCTGCAATAAATTCCATAATCCTTTAAATAATTTTAGGAATGTCTTCATGCTGTAATATTAATCACCCTGTTTCAAAACCAAATTTGACAGTGTCTTGCGTTAAAACCGTCTTACTGCTGAAACATTAACTAAACAGAAGGGCTGATCAGGATATTCCTAAGACATTAACATTAATATCAACATAACTATTATGTCCAGCTTTTCCTTTATTATGTAAATTGGTATTGAAAGGAAAATCTTTCCTCAAATTTTTGTGTGTGTGTTCTAATACAGAAGAAGGATGATTAGTGACCTGAAATTCAAGTGTTTAACTGTGTTTTTATAATAAAATGTCATTACCGAAAAATGAATATTTTCCAAATCAGATACATCTCTCTTAAATCAGGGTCATCCTGGCAAAGAGGGTCAGTCTGGAGATAAAGGTGCATTGGTGAGTTTTAAAACTTTTCCATTTATTTACATATCTTTGAAAAAGACCTTTGGCTTTATGACACATTTGTTGCTCCAAGAACAATTTAGGAAGATAACAGAAAACCCATGACACATTCAGAGCATCTATGTGCAAGCATATTTATTATATTCTAAATATTATAGAGATTCTAAATAATATAGATTACCAATGTAAAACTGATTGTGGAGTTCACAGAATGGCAATCAATAAAAATTGCATACATTTCATATACATATAGAGTCCCCACTAGGGTTCTTCAGAACCTTTTTTTTTAAAGATTTACAAATGCATGCGTACACATTGTATTTTTTAGGTCACCTTCAAGTCAGTGACAGTGAAAAGTAAATTCTTTATTTCTTTATGAAGCTCTGAAGGTCCTGGGGCTCCTCAAAGCAAATTGCTTGCTCAATATTGACCCTTATTTATCCAGAACAGCACCCTTTATAGCACTTGAAATCGGTTTCAGTTGCAGTACTGATTTCAGTGGCAATACTAAAAGGTTGTATTCTGGATAAATAGGATGAATGAATGAACAGGACATTTCAGAAAGTACAATTCCACTGACACTAGCATATTACTATTTGTCCAAAATGCTGTTATCTGTTAGAGACTGGTAGATTTTATCCTAATTTATTAAGAAAATAAACTTACACAGAGCATGTATGTTTTGAAAGTACAGGTATGTGACCATCTGTCAGTTCTTCGTTATGCCTTTTGAATTTACTCATCAGTTTCAGCCAGATTTGATAGAAAATTTTGTTTCTCAGAGCTGTTAACAGTCTAAAGGTTTTGTGAAAAGACACAGCTGAAAAGGGGAAAAAGACCTTATCAGTGGCCCCATTAGGGAAAAAAAAAGATTTTGTTATATGTCCATCTTGGACATCAGATAATCAACAAAGCAGCTCAGCCTCAGACACAGATGTGTATGTTTCCAGGCTTCCTTGCTTCCACTGTTTACAGAACTCAGTTTCTTTAGACACTGCCAGTGGATTGCATACTATCAAAGTTGAGCATCTGTTAAATGCTCAGTGAACAGTAAATAACAGCATACAGACATTGGTCAGTATTGACAGTACCGTGAGCCTTTTAGCTTTCAAGTTTGGACTCTCTTTTTAAAAGACCATAATTTTTTATTATTATCATTATTTTGATCTCTACTTTTGACTTGTGTCATCATCATATTAACATATAAATTTTCTCCAGCAAGACACCACTGGTTTCTAATTGGCATGGGGTTTTTTTGGTTTTGTTTGTCTGTTTATTACATTTTCCAATGACCATTGTTTGAGATAATGTATATTGTGGATAGATGTTTCCCAAATATACAAGTAGAACCAAGTTCATAATTCTGTTAGTAGTTTTATAGTAGCATTGATAGGTGCTTTGCGATGCCATGACTTTTCTTAGTGGCAGGTAACCCAGTATTATTTTGATATCTCACACAAGACTGCTGCATTATAGTGAAAGAACAAGGATTACACTCAGAAGAGAACTGCTTGCTAACCAAGTACTGTAGAAATAAAGGTTCTTTACTCCAATATATTTTAGGGGCCTCCAGGTCCTCAGGGTCCCATTGGCTATCCAGGTCCTCGTGGTGTAAAGGTAAGATTTAGTTACTGGACTCCTCCCCCCCCCACCTTTTTGAATATATGCATGTGGGTAATTGTGTATCTTCTTTCCTCAGGGAGCTGACGGTGTCCGTGGTCTAAAGGGATCCAAAGGTGAAAAGGTAAATCTGACTGCATTTATTTAATTCCTTTCCCTTTTCTGTGTTCCTTATTTAACTGCAACATTTTCTGTCTCCTTCACTGCAGTGTGTTTTCTCTTGCAGTAGGTGGGTTTATTTTTGCCTTACCCTAAGGACATACCAAGCCCAATTCATAAATCAGTGACCTCCATGGTTATTTACACTGGTACGAAGTGAATATAAAACCTGCAGTTATTAGAATGGTTTGGATGCTCTCTGCACCAGTTTAAGTAACTTCTCTCTAAGGTGCTCCTAAGTAGAGAATCAGACATTGCCTTTCTTGTCAACAGATACTATAGTGGATACTGAGAAGCTTATGCATCAGAGAGATTTGTGGCGATAATAGTATTATTTTATCTGTTTTGATAGTGCTGTAGGCTAGATTTTGTATTTTTTGTGTACATTTTGCCAATGGCTTTCTAAGTTCCAGGTATTCTTGTTCCAGATCTTTGGCTTTGCCAAAGTGATGAACAGCCCCAGTCAGATGCATATATATGAACAGGAAGAAAGCTTTTACATCCCCCTAATACCATTACATTCTGTACACAGAGCTCCTACTAGAGCAAACACCAACTGCTGCAATCTCTGCTGACTTCTGATGGTCTGCAGTGGCTGAAACTACAGCCAATATTGGTTTAAATTCCCACTTTTCTCAGCACTCAAAATAAGAGACAAACAACAAATACCATCAGTCCTAACCTCCTGACCACACAGGCAGATTCACCATTGTGGCTCTGGTGGCTACCGTGTATATATTTATAGCTATTTCTAAAGCAGAAGACTCACTCTTGCCAAAAAGCTTGATTTCAGCACTAGAGAGCTGTCTTTCAGGCTCAGATGCCAAGAGCTGCTGTACGTTTCCAGGCTTTCCTAAACCACAGCTTGTCTAGTCTGCATACTCATTTTAGAGTTGCTCATTAAATATAAGCTGAAAAAGAATGTGTTTAATACCTGTGGAAATTGGACAGTTCAAAAACCCAGATTTTCTTTTGCCTTATCGAGTGATTAATATCCAACTAGGACAAAATACCGGACTCACATATAAATAAGCTTAATATATGTGTGTGTATCAATAAATACTGATTAGCATAATCTTCACAGTATGTCTGTGTTACTAAAAATTGATCTCACAGTTGCAGAAAGACACTGAACTCTACTGAATACCTCAAAAGGTCACACAAAGTTATTTCACAGATTGTCCTCACAGTGCTTTAAAGGTCTGTTACACATGCCTTTATTACTGAAATTATTCAGATGTCATTACATGGGGGAAAGCACTGTAGGAGACAGAAAGAAATAAATTGATCATTCAGGAAATTCTCTGTAGATGTGGAATGGTCCCAGGGATATCAGAGGAGGTCCATGTCTGTACTGACCAGTAAATGTGACTAGAAGTCTTTAGCTATTTTATTTTTTATTAACAGCAGAAGAGGAAATAGAGCATTCAGCTCTCTCCTCCTACATGGAATAAACCAGCCTCTTGTAGATCTCAATAGCTGGAACCTCACTGTGAAAGCTGAAGAAGAGTTTCAGTTCATTTGGCAGCCATTTGGTCAGTAATTGGCATATGGTCAGTCCTTGCTGATATGTTGCAAAGTGTTCTCAGATAGTTATTACTGTCCATGGCCATAACTGAGTGACTTTTACAACTAAAATTTTTTCATTCATTCTGCACCTTTTTCACCTCTCTTTAAATTTTAAGAGAGACCACCTTGAAATTTTAATTTATGCAATATAAGATGACCATATAAAGCTTAGTTTCACTGTCTAGAAAGCATGGGAAACCTGCTTTTAGAACGATTTTTAGTATATTTTTTTCAATGGATCATGATGGGTTACCTCATCTTTTTTTACATGAACACATACTATTGAGAACTTATATTTGCTTGTTTGATTATTTTTTTTATTTTAATGTCTCTTCATCTATTTTGAACTGTTTGCCACTAGCAAAACTATTTCTATCACCCTTTCTAGTGTTTTTTGTGCATGCAGTATGACTGCTTCTGAACAGAGTCAAAATGACTTTAGCCTTGCAATCTGTCTCAGTTGCTGATCAGGGAGAAGATAAAGTCTTTGTGGGCCCAGGAGTGCAAAATGCAAGCTTCCTTTTCAAAGTGAGGATGAAATAGAAAAGCTTTCTTGGTCTATTGACAGTCCAAATATTACTCAGATTCTAAGTCAGCAACATTACTTCAGCATGTAAAAAAACTAACAGCAGCATAGTAAAACATTTTACTGCATGCTCATTCATCACAAAGACCTTTGCTTCCAGGATATAACTAAGCATCAGATAAAAATGTAGTCAATAATATTTGTTGTCTGGATGTTGGAATAGTAGTTGTATGATGAGTTAGATTAAGAAAGAGAGAACCAAAAGCTGATCAGTTATGCTAGAGTGAGTTGTGAACAACTCCACTGAACAACTCTGTAGATTTCTATTTGTATCTGAACTAACTCATACAGGTATAAATGAAACTTCTCTGTGTACTGTCTGCTTGTACTTCAGCATGGAGAGCTATTAGAATACTTGGTGTAAATTCCCTGCCAGAATTTACTAGGCAGTAAGTAATTCTCACTAGGAATAACAACAATGTGCAGCTGTTTTGCCACTGTATATGGATTCAATCTTAATGTCCATTGGTTTTTGTGCTTTCTTTCAATCACGTCAGCCAATGACAGCAGGGAGGGCTGAGTATTGCCGGACATCGAATTACTGTATAGAGACGACTACGTCTTCTTTTAGATTGTGAACCTTCATACCTTTTTTTTTTTTTATGAAGATGTTACAACCAGGCAAATTTTTGATTCCTTTCATGATACTATTAAGACATTAATGTAAAAGAAAGGTTCTGCTATTAAAAAGAGTAACACTGAATAATTTGCCACCAATTTTTTAGTTAATTGAAGTAATGAACTTTTTTAGAACTTATTTTAAAAAGTGATAATCAAAAAAAGTTTAGAAGTTAAGAAAGGACTTTACAAGATAATTCATAATAAGACAGAAGAATTATATTGTCTCTATCTTTAAACAGATTTTAGGAACTTTTGAACTAAAAAGTCATTTTGTATAGTTCACTGATATACTTTCTCTAAAATAGCAATAGCCATATTAGATTTTCTAGTGTCTGAAGTTCTCACTTTATCTATGCAAATTATTTAATCTATACTTCATCTATTCACTTATTCTGTTGGCAGAAAAAAAAAATCCTCTCTATTACTAAAAGCCATTATGTGAATTTCTGCCTTTTTTAGGGTGAAGATGGTTTTCCAGGATTTAAAGGTGACATGGGCCTTAAAGGTGATCGGGTAAGCATTTATTCATAGCCCCTGTGTTGTTCAAAAGTTTAAGTGATACTATTTTGAAAGGATCACAGAAGTAAACAAATAAATTTAAACCAAAAATAAAATAAAAGCTAGTAGCTTAAAATTATTTCTCTTCCCTGCGCATGTACAGATTTGAGACGGAGGTTTTGTTCTTGTGAATCACAATGACACAGTTATAAAGACGAACAGAATGTCAGTCTTGGATATCCTTTTCACTAAGCTTCTTACTCGGGAATCTCCTTTTCCGGATTCCAAGATGTCCAGTATTTGCCTGAGGAAAGTTAATCTATCCAGAATAAAGATGTTTCCATTCCAACCTAGCATCTTGCAAATCTCTGCCAAAATGTTGTTTATTTAGCCCAATGGGCACTTACTTCCTTTTATGGGTAGTGTTGTGGAGGTTCTAAAAAAACTTCTCACAAAAGGCTCCTGGCCTATGTCTGTTGTCTGTATAGGTAAATAACTGTGAAGATGGTATCCACATAAGTACTTAGATCCAGACATTTTTCTTTCTACAGACTGTCAGAGTGCCTTCACAAGAATTTAGGGACGCAAAAATAAGAATATGCATTTTCCAAATGCAACTTTCTTCTGGCAAGGCCACTGGGCTCTTACACTTGTCAAAGTAATATTCAGTGCCTAATTTATATGTATTGGCATTTATATAATGAACATAAGCAGTGGTAATTTCCTAATGGGAAACTGCACAGGGGTTTGAGCAACCTGGTCTAGTTGCAGGTGTCCCTGTGCACTGCAGGGGGGTTGAACGAGGTGATCGTTAAAGGTCTCTTCCAACCAAAACCATTCTATGATCCTAATATCTATTTACATTTACTGAAAACTTATCTTCAAGTAATGGTAGGTAATCTATCTAACAGATGCATAAACGCAATTGTTCCATATTGGTGTATTTTAGGGAGAAGTTGGTCAGCCAGGTCCACGAGGAGAAGACGGTCCAGAAGGTCCAAAAGGTCGAGCAGGTCCATCTGGGGACCCAGGTGCTGCTGGTCCAGCTGGAGAAAAGGTCAGTAGCCAGATAATAACATAAACATGTCATTGCCTCGTAACATAGAGGGAGCCCATGATCATCATCATTAAAAAACAAGCCTCCAGGTCCACAAAATCCTTAGCTACCTAACGGTAGTTTTTATGAGACACTACTACAGCAGATAACTGGAGTTCACATTTGAACAAGTATTAAGAATCAATATTTTGTAAGTATACAAGAAGGCATTATAATCCTTCATCGTCATACAAGGCAGCTAAATTCCTATCCCAAATTACACAGAGTGCACGCCATCTAAGGAAGATATGATGTAAAGAAAATAGTTGGGCACAGAGGAGGATAAAGGTGCTGCTGGAGAGTGAATTAATGTTCATAGTCATATTATGACAATGTGTGACAGGAAAATTGTTTTAAACAGAAAACATCCTGAATAAAAATCCAAAATAGAGTTAGCAAAAGTGAAAGGGGCAGTTAAAAGGAAGGACCAAAAAAAGGATGGTGATGTGAAATACAAGAGAGAACAAGTACAAAGATAAGTACAAATCTCTGTAGAATTCTGACATCAACAAAAAACACTTGAGTTTGATATAGAGAACGGGAGGCTGAGGAATGTGTGTGCGGGTATCATATGTCACTGGGTGAGAGCATCAGAAAAGAAAGGTGATTACAGCAGTGGCATTTTCGATAACTGGGAAAGAATGGTAAAAGAAAACAAAAATGATGGTTCAGAAATATGTATACTCTATTTCACAAAAGCGAGAAGATGCTGGTGAAAATACTTCCCTTTAATTTTGTTGGTAACTGTGGCTTTAATTATAGTTCTGTCATGAAAAGAATAGGACAGAAGATGCATTTTACATTTCTTTCTTAATTTTGCTGTCTTTAAAATAGGAACAGTTAGTATTTTCTACGAACATCCCATCTGAAATGTTTACTTATTCAATCTTTTTATCTTAATAAGTATGTGGTACTGCTAAAAAGCTAGCAAGGTTCACAGCTAAGAGTTTTGCCAGGAAGAAAAAAATGTATTCAGCAACTTTGGGAACAAACTTTCTTTTGATAAAAAGTTGCTACTTTTTGCAAGTGTGTCATTCATAGAAGTTCAGAAAGATGTTATGGTTATAATTTGAGCCTAATGCCATTCACAAACTCTTAGAAAAGTATGTATCTAAAAACTCAGTTTACTCATTACAAAAAAAAAGATTTATTTTCAGGTTTACTTAACTATTGGCAACTATTTGTGAATTAATACTTAATGCTTTAAAATTTTAAGAATTTAATAAATAATTCTTCTTAATGAATTACTCACTGTGAATAAAGATATACATTTTCAAGCATTTCCTCTTCACTATGACATATATGGGACTCTCACAGTCTCACAAATCCAGAATCTAAAGCCCTATATATCAGAAGATATTTGAAAAAATTATTGGTGTTGATAACACAGTTAGCTGAACTTGGAATTGTAGACCCAAAGTTTTCCCTTTTCTACGAATATATATACCTTTTCTTGCCCATTGAAAGTCAAACATCTTCTGTGGCTATTCTGTGGACACTTGGCCAGAACAGAGTGGGTCAGAGAAGAATTCTGTTATGTTGGTTCTGTGATATTTATTTTAGCACAAAGACTGGAATAATCTTTGAATTCTTATATCTCCCCACAATATTAGGGAAGTGCCTGTAAGACCAGTTATCAATGTTCTATTCCCTTGTCATTCCTATGACTTATTTAATGCAAAGGTACTACTCTTCCATAGTAATGAAAGTACCAGAGTAGTCTCCTACTCTCTATGTTCAACTGATCCCATGATAAGAAAACTCTCTTTCCCAGGTAGATCTAGGGCAGGATTTGCTTAGTAAAGAAAACACCAATGTGGTGCCAAAAAAATGAGGAGCATATCAGAAAAGAGCTTATAATCAAGAAACCGTCCGTATCCACACTCAAAACCTAGGCAGCTGGACTAGGTTAATCCTAAAATCAGGGACAAAACTTTCAATGAAGTTGGCAAGAGTTTGATGCACTGTCACGCTGCAAAACATTTGAGTCGTAATGCATGCAGGTTGTTTGTGTGGCACATAACTGGCAGCATTATAATTATTTGCATAAATCAGAGCTGTTTAATACATGCATTTACATTAATATGGTAATACTCAACATTTTTATTCATATGCTGCATTTTTTTATGAATAGACATGTTTATATTGTCAAATTTCCTTTCCCACAAAGGGCTCTCCTTCCTCCTTTTCATTATCTAAGGTTACTGTAGAGTACCATATTATATTGTATAATAATATCTTTTCCATTGACATCTTCTCCAAAATGTGATAGTCTGGAACATGTACTGTGTTTAGAATAAGTGAATAGGCAGTTTCTTCCCCAGAGTTCCCATCTTTCAAAGACTGAAACTGCTTTCCCTTGCCTTTGAAAGTAGCCAACCATCACTCATCCTCTAGAGGTCCGAAGAGACCAACTCAGTGGGGTAGGTTAGTGTATTTCATTTCTAGGAATTGTTAATGTCAGTGTTAATCAGACTGCTCATCCTGTTGTGCTTTCTGAACATAGCAAGGTGGTAATATTTGTTGACACATCTCTTGTCAGCAGTTAGTCAGTGGGGTATGATTTATCATAGTCTCAAACCAGTCAGAACTATTTAAGAAAAAAGTTGATCCTTCAAATGCCTATTCATGAAAAGTCTGTGGAAAACAAAGCAGTCATCATACAGTATAAATTAAAAAGGATTTATTCTCACTTATACCTGTTAACAGGCTGATTTCTTAGGGACTATTAATAGTTTAACAACCTCAGCCCTGCACCACTACACAGCACTTCATGGGGGGAAAAAAAGAAGACACTGAGATATTGGCTTTGCTGAACTCATTCATTGGAGTGAGATTTATAAGTTAAGGGAACTAGGCCCACTGGTGATTAGTAGTTAAAAAAAGACATTTATTTAATTGAGTGTTATATCTGCTGAAATATCATCACTCTAAGTTGTGTAAAAAAATATTTTCTACAGATGTTTGCTGAACCACTAAGGAGGATAAAATAAAATTTAACACTCCCTTCTTATTGCAGGGTAAGCTTGGTGTACCCGGATTGCCAGGATATCCAGGAAGACAAGGTCCAAAGGTGAGCTGGAAATGAGCTGTGTATCTTGTGCTTTGACATTAATCACAATGGCAGTTATTTTATTTGTGTGTTTGGGGAAGCAGAATGTGGGCATCAAAGCAAGGGGCATTTTTCACATTTTCTTTCTTGACAATCATGTTCTGAAGTAAAATCTTTAAAAATGTTGGATCCCTAAGGCAGGGTCTTTAAGGAGCACTATGTTTCCTCTTCTTAGCTCTACTGCCTTCAAACCTTTGCCATCCTCTCATGAATTGTGTTTTTGTGCAAGCACCAGAGTGGCATGCATTAAACAATTTGAAAATGAAGTAACTGCTGATATGATTGAAAGAGAATAAGCACTACATTGACCACTAAAGGGATGCTGATAGTGATGGAAATTTTCCATGTGGTACAAGGATTCCTTTTGTGTTGTTACTGCTTCTTCCATAGAATAAGCCATGTATCTTTGAAACATAGTTTACAATTTTCATTGTGTTTTCCTTTTGCTTCTGTTAAGACAAACATGACAAACCCCAACTCTTAGGTGATTTATGTGCCTACATCTATCCTTCAGCTATCTCTTATGTTTTGATTGCAATAGAAAACCATATAGGTGGCTTCTGATTTAGGTGAAGGCTTACATTTTTAAAAGATTTTTATGAAACATATTTTTAAAAATGTCATCCCAACACAGCTTTAGGAAATGGGCACGCTAAATTAATTGCACACTCTCTTTTCTGAGATCACCAAGCACGAAAAAATGGAATAAAAACATAATTCTACAGACGTTTCCCAGTGCAGAAGAGGCAATTAGGGAGACATTGCATCTCCAGGCTGTCTCAAGATGACTCATCTAGGGAAATACCGCAAGTAAAATAATCCCTTACCCCTTCTACACAACTGAACAATCAACCTGCAGTAAAATCCTCAACTTTGCTCTACTTTGGGATCTAGTTTTGTTTTCAGTTTTGAAATAATGATCTTTTTTGAAGAAATACAACTTCCTGGTTGGCTAGGCAAAGTGTTTTTCCAACTCTGGACTATACTTTGGCCTTTTTCAGTCAAGTGAGTGAACTATCTGAAGAATGCCTATTCATTGAACACTGTGTCAGTGAAAAATATCAAAACCATCTATGCAAAGTATTCATGAAAACTATTCACCTTGAGACATGGGTTTTTTCTTCTGTTTCTTAACTCAAATGTCTGAGATTTCAGTCTCTCTGTTCTCCTTTAGAACTGTCTTTTGAAAAGTATAAGATGAAAGAGGTTTTACATTATTCAGTTCTAAGAACAAAAATGATGTAACACTTCAAATAAAAGTTGATTGATTCTTTTTTTTAGCAAAGACTTGATAAAGAATTTCATTCCCTAAAATTTTTATCACATTAAAATTGAAAATAGTTCTCAAGCTGAATTCACTGTTTGCTCTTCTAATTTGTCACTTAAAATTCCAGGGAAGAGCAATGACAGCTGCAATACATCAACTCACTACAGACCTGTTTTTAAACTTATTCACAGTCCAGTTCAAATTAACATAAGGGAGAGACAAACAAAGAAGCAGCAGAAAAACATATTAGCTGTGTAAAGCAAATAAGAAATCTTGTCCCAGTATTGTCAAGAAGGTTCACACCATTCTTTGTATTGTCACTTACTTGCTTTTCATTATTTTTCTTCTGAGAATTGTTCTTAGAGTACTGCCATTATCTGATAATTTTCACTATTTCTTTTCTCCTGTCCGGTCCCTCTTGATTAACACAACTGGAAAAAGTATTGTGTATATATAAGCTATCTACAACCAAGTCATGCCTATTAATGCATGATCATTACAGTTTGTTTTTTCCTCTGTGCTTTTAATTATAAAGAACATGCTTGGGCTTTGCAGAGTAGAACTTCCACAGTTTTATTCACATTTTAAGTTATGGTTGGTGAAGAATTAAAAAGAAAGAAAGAAAGTAAGGAATAAAAGAAAATAAAATCTGTTACTTTTCTCCCACCAGTGAACATCAATCAGGTTTTCATTAGAATCAGTGTCAGTGAAGTTGTACTACGTTTAAGTCATTAAAGGATAATTGGAATGATGGTGTGTATAAGATTCGTTAAATGTAAAACATAAGCAAGAAAAAGAGAAAAAAGAAAAAAATACTTACTGGTGTTTCAAAGAAGAGCACTGAGAAATTCTATTTTAAGTTTTTATTATATGCATTTTATTTGCCACTAAAATACTAATAGCAAGCTGCACAAATATAGATGCATTATTTTAGTGGCTGACCAAACCAAATGCTGTGTTGATTTTCACCTCCAGGCACTTAAAAGTATATTTTATCTAATCTAGCATCTTTTTGAGCCCAAGTCCCTTACAACAAAGTAGCACCTTGGCAGGTAAGAAGTCTGCTGTCCCTCTGGACCTGTATACCAGAAATAAAGAAGGAAATAGTACTGTTCAGATTAGACTGGGCAGTTAACAGGACAAAATGGGAGAAAAAAGGATAAAAAAAGTCAGATACTCTCCCCATAATTTCTGCTTATGAGATGAGCATGTAAGCACATATACAAATTGCATGTATCAGTTAAATGAAACTGGCCAGTGGTCAGTTTACAGTGAATAAAGCACCTGAAGTAATTTACAGCTCAGTAAAGTGAACAGAGTACCACTGTTCAGATGTGGCAACACCTTACAATTGTTTTGAATTAAGTTATTTTGTAAAAGAATTATTATACTGTGAGGCAACAAGGCCTTATTTGTTCCTCTTCATTACAATATGGTTATTTCTAGTGGGCTGTTACTAATAATTTCTTTCCTACTGCTAAAAATGGTGCAGATTTAATGAATACTTTATTGTCTAATAAGGTGACAAATAATGTCCATTCTATACATTGACTTTTTTAATGCATTCTGGACATGAGGCATTATGGTAAGTTAATTTACAGCTATTCATCAGAGCTGTCACACTTTCAAATTTGACGTGTACAGTGTGCATGACTTTGAAGGTGTGCTTTACATATAAATTAAATGTTGTCTATACTACTGTTTTGCTGTTGATATCCTCTGATATTTGCATTGTTTTCTTACATAGGGCTCAACTGGTTTCCCAGGATTTCCAGGTGCCAATGGAGAGAAAGGTGCAAGGGTATGATAATTCGTGCTTGCATGATGCTTAATTAACTTTTGGAACTCAGTGCTGTGGGAAGTCACTGAAACCTAAGGACACAAGCTACTATCTAAAGAACTATAAACCAGGCTTTTCACACTTAAGATGAACCTCTGCAGTTATATAAAACAGTACATACTGAGACACTAGTTCTCATGCTTAAGGTATTATTCTAAATATGCAGGAACTCAGACACTTTCTCATTGTGTATGCTACCACAATTATATATTTGAGGAAAAGAAAGAAATTTGCTGAAGCATCTTTTTTGACAGTATAGCTCAGTGAGTTGGCAAGCACTATTTTCCTGTATCCCATGAATTATCCTGCTACCATGCAATTTACCCTCAAGGAATTTCAACTTGTATTTCATAAGTATTCTGATTTGCCACAAGCTTTTTTATAGGCTGAGCTTTGAAAATGCAAGATATACCAGGCAAGATGAAGAAAATGTACTATTACATGTATTAAAAAATAGATGTAAAATGACAGCTTTTTCTGCTTTGTTTACATGAAGCAGGTGAGGGAAAATCTGTTATGCATATTCTTCAAACTGTAAAACTGAAATATAGGTTAGAAAGAAGGTCACTGTGCTGTTGTCTCTAAAGCTTAATTGAACATAGCTGAACATGTTCCTAGAAAGATGATAAAGTTAAGACGATGATTCAGAATTCTAAGATGATAGTAACGTAAAGTCAAACTGAAGTAATATATATCATTGTTCTTAAGAATCCATTTTAATTTGTGGCATGAAACAAGCAGAAACTCATGATTTTAAGATGAAATATATGAAACCCAGTTGCATTTGTGTTGCTTATGTGTGCTTTAAATTGTTTTGTATTGTTTTAGCTAAGATAACAATATGTTGTTATGGACAGACACAAGCAATAAAATAATGTTCCGTTCATCCTTTTTGGAAAAAATGAGACATGACTGCTAATCAAGATATCAGATTAAAACAACAAGCAAAATGATAACATCACAGAGCAGACTTAAAATATGAAAATCTAATTATATTGTTCCGTTATCTGGCCTTCATAAAGCTTTCAATTCAGCTAGAGTACTAACCACGTAATTAATACCATCAAACTGCATGCATAATTAAGTATTATGCTGATCATCAATGAGACAATAGCTGCTGGTTTTGTAATGTGAATCAGGTATTATTATTAATCTTGCCTAAAGGGATATCATTATGGTTTACGCTACCACGCACACTAGTACTAGAAAAGACAGTCATTGTCACTGAGAAGTTCACAAGCTGTGTAGCACTTTAAGAACAACACATAATTTTTATTTTGATAAGTGAAATAAAATAAATAAATAAATCCCACAAGAAAACCCTCAAGAAAACAGGTGTGTGCATTTAGTTGGTTTCAAATAAAAGCAAGTTTTCTACTAAAACATGCCTGCTGATTTTCTGTTGCTGTTATGTTTACCTCAGAGATTAGAAAGTACCAGTCATCAGGTTCCTTCTTCTACCTGAATAATACTCTATTGAATTTTAGGCTTCTTTTTGCATTAGAATGCACAGCAATACTAATGCCAAGTCTAAGGAAAAAAAAAAATCTGTTGAGTAGGATTCGAAGATAGTTCTGGCAAGTTCTGTATCTCTGTGCAAGTGTGCAGAATCCTGGTAGGTATTACAGTCCCCATCTCTGTTTTAAAAAGAGAGAGGCTTGCCCTTTCTTTTCTCTATTAACCTGAGCTGTCCATAGGAACCTGGGAACTTTCTCTTCAAGGCAATTATTACATTGGAAATGATGCCAAGTCATTTAGACTACTGCAGAGGGACTCTGCTTGTTGTGTGCCATCTTCTCTGCTATTTTAAAGTAGTTTAAAATGTTCTAATGCCTATGACAGAGTCTGACTCTGAGGCAAATTTAGCGCATTTAACTACAAGTCCCAGTGAACTCAGAAGGATAATATATTTTATCAAGGCCAATGATTTTGTAAATTAAAATGCAAAGTAGATACTTAAAGTTAAAATAACATTTAAACCTAAGGGAGTTGCACTCTGCCCCCACTTCAGTAAAAGAAACTTTATCTCACAAATACAGTGTCTGCTAAGATCATTTCTGTGAACTTTTCTCTCCAGGGATTACATGGCAAACCAGGCCCCAGGGGACAGCGAGGACCAACAGTATGTAGTACTTTTGCTTTGAAATTTAGAGGCTTTCCTATATTAATTACCTACACTATACCATGTAGAATTATTTTATTTATAGTATCCTCAAGTGCATCTGTGTTGAATTGACAGGGTCCAAGAGGCTCAAGAGGTCCCAGAGGTCCCACTGGTAAACCAGGTCCAAAGGTAATTGTCAAGCACACTGTATAGATTGGCCACAGGCTGTTTCTTTTAAATAAAACAGAAGTCTAATCTTTTAACATATTGACTTTCCTTTCTAGGGTACTGCAGGCAATGATGGTCCTGCTGGCCCACCAGGTGAAAGGGTATGTGAAAGCTGTTTATGAACATGTTGTTTTTCCCACTATGTAGGAGTGTGATTTGAGAGTGGGAAAGTTGTTTTATTTTTAATACTCCCCTCATGTCTTTGCCCTTCTTTGAGCAGAGTAACCAGAACTAACAAAACTTCAATTCCAGTGATGCTTTTCACAAAGTTGTGAATGGGTAGCTGAAGTTTGCTGAAAGCTTCTTCCATCTGTAGCTCAGTTTTGTACAAATAGGACACAGAGAATACACTTTGTATTATATTCATGCACTTTGTGTATATCCTGCTAATTACAGCTGTATTTACCAGCCTATGCTTTTAAGAATGCCCCATTTACTGCAGCATACTGCTTGTTTATGGGATTTACAAATCGCTCAAGCCATCTCCAGAAGCTTCTTTGTTGAAGCAGCTGATTTTGTTTTGTTCTGATCAGCCAAGAATTCCCTTCAACCTACTTTCTGCATGTTTGAGAAATCCTATTGTGCTTGCTAAAATAAAATTTTCTGCTTGCTATTATATTACAAATCAATACACAAATATAACATACAGTCAGCCCATTACACAGCAGTATATAGAAACACAATATTAATAAATCAGATTTGTAACAGCAGCACTTGAAAACCAACTCAGATAATTTAAGTGGAATGCTCTTTGCCAAAGTATTTTTGCAAAGCTTAAGAACAAACTTTTCTTTCATAGTCATATTTCATTAAACTGCTAACCTTTTTCATGTAGAGAATCTGTAAATCCTTTCCCAGTACCCACTCCCAAGTCCCAGTGATCTCCAGAAGTCTTACCCCTCAGGAGGCAGTTCCTTGTGTATTTTCCCCTGTTCCATAATGTCACTTTGTTACACTGTTTCCTTGCTGAACATGTGCGCCTTTGATGTAGCAATACTGGCAGAACAACTGCAAACTGTTTTTGCTAGAATAACAAAGCAAACTGAAAAAGGAAAAAGGCTATAGGATCAGACCACATAGTTTGATTGATTACTGGAGATAAGGACATCCATAAAACTAATGATAACAAAAGCATGGCGTGAGTGTGTTCTAGAAATCCCAAATTTTCAGTTTGTGTGTCTGCAGAAATCTATTAAGGTTAATTTAGTTTGGTTTATCCAGCTGTAAGTAGAGTATTAATAAACTTAAAGGAATGCACGTGCCTACATATCTAATGTTATATTTTTCTGCTTAAGAGAAGGATTCCTTTCCTTTTGACTGAGAGCCATTGAAGCACATGCCAAAAAAAAAAAGTAATACCAAGTACTCTGGAAACAAAAGTTTTAGTTTACTAAAAACCTTTCATATGCATTGTTTTAGCTGTTTCATTCCTGAAGCAGAATATAACCTAACTGTCCAAGAGACTGGTTAGTGGAGCACTATAGTGGTTCTTGCAATACAGAAGAGAACTAGGATAGAACAGAAGGAAAGTTGAGGACTGGAGGACTAGACTGTAGCCAGTACATATGGAAGGCAACACTGTGAGGGAGGCTGCAGTAAGAAGTTGAAAGTAGCTGTATATCAAGCAAAAGACAATGTACCAAGTGGAACATGGACAGCGGGAATAAGTGGAAAGTTTGGGTGAAACAGGAATGATGATGTAGGAAGCTGGGATTCAAGAGAAGAATGAGTTAACTTGGATGTTGGCTGTAGGGAACTAGGCATAATCCAAAAAAGAAACTGTAGGTTGTTTTACACTGACGAGGAACATCAGAGGCAGACTACCAGAAGGTGAACAGCAAAACCTCATGAAGGAGGTGTTTGCTGACAGCGCCAAGAGGTTATGAGGAAGAGGAGCTGGGGGGGGGACTGAAAACAATGAGCGGATCAATCCAACATGAAGACATTCCTGGAGAGAGATTAGAGCAAAGAGATGAAGCAGAGCACCACATCTCATATCACTTGTGTAATATAAGTGTGAGGTATCTATTTGCTTCCCAATAGGGGTGAATTTCAGCCAAAAAATAAAACTGTCGTTTCTACTCTGCTGAGACTATTTCAGGTACCAGACATGTAACATTAAATAATCTGTCCTGTGTAGCTACTGTTAAAATGAAATTTAATGACAAAAAAGAAAATGTAATTTTGCAACATGCTGTTAGTATTCTAGAGCTTTTTCTAACATAATCCATCAGTCCTGTGGTTTGAAACCTGCAAGCCATGTTGTGAATAAAATAAAATGCAAATGCTCTTTCCTTAAAAAGCCTCAAGATGTGAGGATCAAAGTACAGTGAGAATTTATGAGAAAGAGGGTGCAACTAACAGTAAAACTTTGAGTTGTGCTCTTATAACTCAGTTCCTGAGAGGGACCAATTTCTTTCATATATTTTGTGCAGTGGCTGAGTCAATTTTAATAGTTTTCCTCTATAAAATTCCTCTGTTATTTTGGAAACTTTATGCTTTATGTTATATCCAGAAGCAAATGAGGAAAGGTCATTTGTTCACAGAGACAGCAGAATGAAAAAAACTCACACACTCCTGTGGAACATATTTGTGTGTTATGGAGGTTTCAGAAACAACCTCACACCTGTTTTGGAAGAGAAGATAAAAATGACAGGTAGTGCAGTAAGATCATAAAGATTTCTTCCTTTACCTAGCACTTCTTAGGTGACTCAGATTTAGTATTACAGTATAATCAAGGTTTTCCCTGGAATAAGATTAATTTAAGAGCAAATTCTCCTAGGTTGGGCACAAGGGATCTCCCACAGCTACATTCACACACTGCTTTGCCTACTGCAGGAGGCAGTCATGCTCTAGAAGTGAGCCTGGGCTCTAATGTATGAGGTTTATGGCACTCAGAAGCAGTTGGCCCTTTATCAGAGGAGCAAAAGGGTAGTATAATTTGGGAGATGTGGCTTCCTGCTTCAAGTCTTTTGCATCAAACTTCAAACCAACATGTCTAACATATTTTGACAGCTGATGTCTTAGCAAAACCAGACATCATATACCAAGTAGAACAGGATAAAGTCTTGCACTATTTGATTAGGATACGTGACTCTGCTGTTGGACCATGCAGAATAAATAAGGTTTTTCAGGTTGCTACTCTTTGGCTTAGTACACTAAAAACTACACAGGAAAAATTTTTTTAGTAAGCTGACATAGTCCCTTTCAGCATATCAGCAATAAATTTTAAAAACTGGCCTCCATTTTGTTTGGTGACAACTTTGAAAACACACAGGTAAGCTAGTACTTTGTGTAAATATCTATGTGTATTTACACACATATATGTACATATGCATATGTATATACTTGTATGTATACATACACAATGCACTAACTCACATGATCATCTTTAACTAAATATGTAAAACCATGCTGCATGAAATTTTCTTTCTCCATATATATATGTATATACAAAACTATATAAATAAAATGTTCATGCATCATGGGGTTTTTTCAGCTATGTGAACTATTTTTCATGACAGAAAGAATGTTGTATTTAGTCTCTGGTAACTCTGGACATCTTACTCTATCTGTATGTTTGTATTGTTGTACTGGCTTGAAATATTGTCAGAGTGTAAGAAACGCCAAAGATGAATGTTGGGCTCAAAGTTAAAAAGACCACCAGATTATTAATTAATTCACGTTTTATGCAGCACGGAAAACAATGTTTCTTACTCACAGTTTGTTCCTACTTTATTATGCACAGTTTCAGGGGTCAGATGCAGACATACTTTATATAAGTAGGTTTTCTTTTTTCTTACTGTATTCCTGCACAGGCAGTATTGGTTTCAGGAAATCCCCTCCAATGTCTATGCATGCGAGTTGTTGCTACGACTATTTATGGCAGTGGAGCTGAGGCTGTGTACTGATGACCAGACATCTGCTGAGTTCATATATTTTATAATTTAAGCAAACTTTTCCATCCAGTGTCATGGCACCTAGACTAAAACTTTATGTGTTTGGTTGCCTTTATATTAGGGACCACAAGGGCCTCAGGGACCTGTTGGATTCCCCGGACCAAAGGGACCTCCAGTAAGTTTCTTTTTAATTGTGTGCAACAACGGGAATGTTATTTTTCATACAATATTTCTAAAGTTAGTATTTGAAGATTTATTTAGGGGATGGTTTATGTATAGATTGCAAATAAGCTTATTGAGCTTTAAGGCTAAGACAAGAACTCACATATTCAAAATTATCTTTGGTACAGCTCATATGACATTCAGCATAATATATTAACTGCAAATCTAGTATGTTGATGCCAATGTCCAGGTGACAGACTGAGTTTAGGCAAAATATTACTTTGCTGGTTTGTATTTTCTTCTAACAATTGATTCATTGAGCAAAAAACAAAGAGGAAGGAGACATTCAGTAGTAGCAGAAATGTATAGAAGTAATAGCACATTTGAGCTGCAGCCCAAACTAGTTACACTGTTTTTCTAGTGTGTTACTGCTTATGTGGAGTAAGTACAAAAGCATCAAACCACCTGTGATTTTTTCCAGCCATGCATTTGTTATTTTTATTTCCAATGCCAAAAACTTAAAGTTCATCAAATACGCCTGTAATGCTTAAGTTTGTGTTAACTGAGTCACTAAGCAAAGAAAAATGGAAGGGAAATATAGGGACTTTCCATGATTCCTCAATTTACAGAAATCCATTTTGAACATGCATGCATTTGACCACCTAACAGTCACTCTCCAAGCGACTGCTAACATGCATCAAGGAGGACACAAGGAAAATGTATTACTAAAATCATAGTTAGCTGATATAGGGGCAGTTAAGCTGTACTGGAGACTACTCTAGAAAAAAGAGATCAGAGATTCTTACAGCTAATTGCACACTTTTTTCCAGAATTAAGAATAGCTTAGAAATGCTTTGATTTATGTGTTTCACAATTTCAGGGGCCGCCTGGAAAAGATGGCTTGCCTGGGCACCCAGGACAGCGGGGTGAGACTGTAAGTAAATGTACTCTACTGTGTTACTGTTGTAAACCTCTGAAGGCCATGACTTGTGTGATCAAAACTAAAGAAACAGAGACACAAAGAGAAGGAGAAGAGGCTGGGCATGAGAGGTTATAAAACTGTAGTTTTCTTATGGTTGGTAGGTTAGGCATGAGAACGCTTTATTTCATTTCCATGCTACAAGAGTGAGGTTGTTCTTTGCTATGCCCAGTTAGTAACATCACAATGAGCTTCAGTAGTTAATAGAAGTAAAAGAAATTAATACTCAGATCTCAATTTTAATAAAGATTTGTCAGGCAGTTACTATATGGTTCTTTCCTCATTGAATGCCACATAACATAAATAATAACATAATAAAAAGTCTTATTAATGGTAAGCAGATAGGAAACTCAAAATCCAGCACCTTTGGAAAGTAAAATTAGGAATGATTCAACCTGTAAAAAAAATCTTAAACTTTTGAAACTATATCCTGTGTAATCCCCCTAAGAATCACAATGAGTAAATTCTGGCAGCAAAATTAAGAAAATAACATGTAAGAGTTTGAATGGGATTATTTAACAAAACTCTCTACTTATGTAGTGCCAAAAACTTACTGAGATCCCACTGAAATAAAATTCTTACTCAGATTTTTCAGAGCTAGAGAAAGCCATAAATAAATTTAGAGAGAAATTTTCTCAGCATGTAGAAGGTGTTTTGGGTTCCAGCTTCACTGGAAATCTGTTAGTGACTGCTGAGTCACTTCCACTGCTGGAAGGGGGAGCACAGAACTTACAGTAACACATCATTCTGAAAAACTCTATTTATTCTGCTAGTACTGTAGCATTGTAACACTTACTTTGCAATGATAGTGGCTTTTTTGTTTGTGAGAGAAACATTATTGACTACTGCTTTGTTCTTCTTCTTTGCAGTGATGCAAAGACTAGTCTTGTGTACCATAAAAATGAGTTTGAATCATTGTTTAGAATGTAGGAAGCTCAAAATTGTTCTTTAGTCTGGTAAGAAGCAGCACAGTTGCTATTTTCCCTTTATTTGTACTTGCTTGAACATGTGCCAGTAACGTGCCATTACAGCAACGAACGCTAATAGCATCCTGGGCTGCAGTAGGGTGATCTTTCCCTTCTGTTCAGCCCTGCCAAGGCCCGGAGTATTGTGCCCAGTTCTGGGCTCCTCAGTAAAAGAGAGCGAGCTGCTGGAGAGAGGCCAGCAAAAGGCCGCTAAGATAATTAAGGGACAAAAGCATCTCTCCTATGAAGGAAGACTGATAGAGCTGGGACTGTTTAGCCTAGAGAAGACAAAGCCCAAGTCGAATCTTATCAAAGTATATAAATACCTGAAGGGAGGGTGTAAAGAAGATGGAGCCAGGGACTTTTCAGTGGTGCCCAGTGGTAGGACCAGAGGCAATGGGCATAAATTGGAACACAGGAGGTTCCATCTGAATATGAGGAAACCCTTTTTCACTGTTGAGGGTGACCAAGGACTGGAACGCATTACCCAGAGAGGTTGCAGAGTCTACATCCTCAGAGATATTCAAAAGCTGTCTGGACATATTCCTGGGCAACCAGGTCTCAGTTGCCCTGCTTGAGCAGGGCAGTTGGACCAAATAACCTCCAGAGGTCCCTTCCAACCTCAACCGTTCTATGATTTCTTGATTTCATTCATGACTAGGAATGGAAGATGCAAAATACAATGAAACTATGGACTCTGCTACTGTGTGATGTTTGGACCAGGTGCTTCTGGGTTCAGTCAATACTATGGTTCTCTAATTTTGTATCTCGTTTGGGTTTAGTAGTGTTAGAGTGATATAAAACTTGAGTAATTTAGGAGCAAATGCACTTTTTCATTATCATTGTTTTCTGCCCTGTGTATATGTATACTTGGGCCAGAATTATTTTAAAAATATTTTCCCCCATGGGTTCTCATGCATATGTTTGTAGAAAAAACGATTTTTTAAAAAACAAACGGTAGACTTTTTGATGAACGTTTCCATTTTAGATTTTTTCAAAATGTATGAATCAGAAAACTTTCATTGCACTTACTGGTAAATCCGAGTCTTAAGAATTCTGTTTCTTACTTAGCTATGTATCTCATTAAAGTTCAGTGGTGCATGTGGGCATTACAACAATTAGGGAATTAGGCTGAGACATACGTAAGGTTAACACATTAGAGAGCCAGATTCCCAGATTACGCTCTGCAGCTAGCTTTTGGAATAATAAGCATATCCTGACAGAAACTGAGGTAAGTATTAGTGGAGAAGAGGCTACAGCTTCTTCGCCTAGTAAGCCATACGTACTTTGAAGAACTGCCATTTTTTGCTGAAATTCTAGGCATTGGAACAGTAATAGCATGATAAATAATTTGGAATATAAATGTAGGAATAAACTACATACTGAAAACCAGTATTAAGTGAGTACCTCCTTAGAACTGATTATCAGCTTTGGTGATATCAATCTCAGATTGGCAGGAGGTATCAGCTGCAGAGATTGTTAGATTATCTGGTGGTTAGTTTTTCATTCCTGTGAAAGCATAAAATAGAAACATACTAGCTGTTTCATCTATTAGAATTAATCAACGACCTTCTTACTACAATAAACTCAGTTTTATTAAGTTGCCTTTCACAGAAAATAACAAAAAAATGGGGCTAATTAGGTACTTACAAAAACAAGCATGAGACATTAGTGTAAATTTTTTAATACTAAATATTTTTGATGAATCCATGGGATGTTCAGATCATTTTGAGTATTTGCTGCTGAAATCTTTGCTTATTGCTTCTTTTACAATTCTGAATCTGTAGGAATAGATAAGCTGGTGACACAAGAAAGAAAACAGTGTAGTAAAACCATCATTAGCATCAAGAATCACTGAACATACTGCGTATATCAATGCATTCTATAAACCTGGGAACAGCAGGTCTCCTCAAGGTACTTTCAGGAAATGGATAATACTCAACACTCCTTTGTCTTTCCTTACGATAGACTTCAGAAGAAGCTTTGACTATGTAAAGGAAGGGACACATGAATGATTCCATCTGTGGCAGTTCTGATATTTAGTCATTAGAGCAAAGGGGTACTTTTGTATTTCTTTTTGATCTGGATCATTTCAGAGGTCTGAGAGAGAGTGACTAAACAATTATGGACGAAACTGAACCATGATAATGTCTGGCTAGCAGCAAGAAGAGAATCAGATTGAGGAAGGTAATAAAAGCTTAAACTGGATCTGATGGAATGGGGCAAGTGTCAGCGAGACTGCCCAGAGGAATGCTGAGCAAGGCCCAACATTTATAAGGAATAGGGCCAGATGACACCTTTGTTTTTACACAGGTGAGCAGAGTAGGAGGCAGATATAGGCTGTTAGGCAGGGGATACTATGTGGAACCCTAAATGTGATACAGCAGTGAATGCACTCTCCTAACTTTATGCAGCAACACCCTTCCAGTATTTGAAAGAAATAATTTAGCACATTTCAAAGATACATTCAAAAGTGCTACTATAAAATGAAGTGGTCATTCAGCTTATTGACTAATTTTGGAAGGAAGTGTGGGGCCACTGATTGGAAAACGAAAATTCTGTAAATTTTGCGAGTGTTCTGAAAACTGTCCCAAAAACACTTTCTATTCTCTGCTTCCCAATTTTTATCATCATATCAATTTCTCATTAACTTCATCCTTTCTGTGGCACTCATGCTGTTGTTTGTAGAGATTACCATCTCTGCAGAACCTTCATCTTCCCCGGATCTCTATTTCTTTTCATTTGCTTTCTGTCTAACCTCCCCTTTATCTTTAATGCACCTCAAAATTTATCCACAATCTGTGTCTTTCTTTAAAAAGCATTTGTATGTCTGGCTTCATGATATGATAATGTATGTATGTAAAAAGGTATTTTCAGTAGTCTTTTAATTGCATCACCTAATCAAATTCACCTAGAGAGATCTGCAAAATTGAGTGGAATTTTTATTGCTGTACAACCTCAGAGCGATTAGAACTGATAGAGATAAGAAAGATTAATCAGTATTTCATTTCTAAGCGTACACAGGAAAAAATAATTTCTCATTTTTATTTCCTGAAGAGAAGGAATGTGTGACGTAGAATTTCTCCTTCTCCTCTTGAGTATAGATATGAATTTTGCTCTTTTGTATCTTGTCCTGGGTAACATAGTATTCAATAATTATTTCACAGGGTTTTCAAGGAAAAACTGGTCCTCCTGGTCCTGGTGGTGTTGTTGGCCCTCAGGTACATCATTTAATTTCATGGTTATCATAAGACCAATGTTTAATGGTTATATTATGGCTAAGGCAGTTGCTTCAGTTGTATTAGAAGGACTATATTGATAGTTATATTAACTTTTGTAACAAATTATACGTAACAATTTTAGAAAGATGTACTTAGCAATCATTAGTGATTCCACAAAATATGCAAATGTTGGGGTTAACTTTCCACTTCCTTTGTTGTGTGTTTTCTTCATGTGATTATGAAGTTGGTGGTTCACAGAAGTCAAGAAGGCAGAGTTTTCTACTTTGAAATGATTTAGAAAGAACAATACAACATCTCACTTTCTTGTCAGAGGCCAGATTTCAGTCACTTTTAGATTGTGGAGGGATTCACTATCAAAATTTCATTTGATCTAATCTTACTTATTTGCAACAAAATCAAGTATTCGGATTGCATGAGCTTTTTTAGGTAATTCCCTCTGTGAAAATTTTCTGCTAGTGAGTCTGAACAGATATCTTTCAACTCTCCTACCTTCCAATTTAGATCATTCAGAAAAAAACCAGTACAGTGTTTCAAGATCACATAGTACATGGATTTCCGTCCCGTGTCCTTTTTGTAACCTCCTCCCAGACATGGGTACGCACTGTATTTTAAAGCTTCATTGCTTCAGGAGGAAGGCCAGGATTTCACTCTTTGGAAGCTGTACAAACGTGTCTGCAGGCAGAATTCAATGCAAGATTTATTTTATAGGACGAAGATATTTTGTAAGTCAGCTTTGCCTGGAGGGAAGGTGAGGAATGTATGCTAACCAATGGTAATACTCTTTTGTAACAGATACTCATAACAGCTGGATGTTAAGAATCTGCTTCTCCCAACCCCCACCTCCCCCCAAGACATTAAATACCTTGAGGTTACTGAAGTTTCACTTTTGTGCTTAGGGTCCTACTGGTGAAACTGGCCCAATTGGTGAAAGAGGTCATCCAGGGCCTCCTGGCCCACCAGGTGAACAAGGCCTCCCAGGTGCTGCAGGAAAAGAAGGTGCTAAGGTATGATGTGGCTTTAGGGAACAAATTGCAAGGGCCTGACAGTCTCACATTTCAAATCATCATGCAGAACATGCAGCACAAGATCAGAACATACAATAAAAAATCATGATTGGCACGTTACATGCAGAAGCATTTGGAGGACTGGAAGATTCCAATTTTAGAGCTGTGTCTGCTTCCATTGAAATAAAGAGAATTCTATTGAGCCAATAATTAGTATTTTTTTTAATAAAAAAATAAAAAAAATAGTTTACATATACCACACATTCACTAAGGAAAGATGTAATAATGACATGTTCACAACAAGGTGGAAAATTGTACCTTGGCATTTAAAGTAGGATGTGTAGTACTGGCTGCAAGGCAGAATTTCACTGAGCAAATTTAGCTCTTTACTTACTTTTTGGCCACCATTGGGACACAAGAAAAATATTGCTTATCCAGTTGCTGTGTAATTCTAGTCAATTTTCCATTTTAAACGGGCATGGTAAATTTTTAATGAAAGTAGCTTTAAACATATTTTTACTGCTTGCTGTGTTTTTCAGTATTTATATTCTATAACTAATACTGTGTTTTGTCAAAGCTTGTTATAAATTTAATCATGTTGATAGACTATTGTACTGAAAATGACTGAATGGCAGAACTCAGAGGGTTGTCATCAGCGGCGCTGAGTCTAGTTGGAGGCTGGTGACAAGTGGTGTCCCCCAGGGGTCAGTACTGGGCCCAGTCTTGTTTAACTTCTTCATCAACAACCTGGATGAAGAGTTAGAATGTACCCTCAGCAAGTTTGCTGATGACACCAAACTGGGAGGTGTGGTAGATACACCAGAAGGCTGTGCTGCCATTCAGCATGACCTGGATAGGCTGGAAAGCTGGGCAGAGAGGAACCTGATGAGGTTCAACAAGGGCAAGTGCAGGGTGCTGCACCTGGGGAGGAACAACCTCATGCACCAGTACAGGCTTGGGGTGGACCTGCTGGAGAGCAGCTCTGTGGAGAGGGACCTGGGTGTCCTGGTGGACGACAGGTTAACCATGAGCCAGCAGTGTGCCCTGGCTGCCAAGAAAACCAATGGGATCCTGGGGTGCATCAAGAAGAGTGTGGCCAGCAGGACGAGGGAGGTTCTCCTTCCCCTCTACACTGCCCTGGTGAGGCCTCATCTGGAGTACTGTGTCCAGTTCTGGGCTCCCCAGTTCAAGAAAGATGAAGAGCTACTGGAGAGAGTCCAGCGGAGGGCTACAAGGATGGTGAGGGGACTGGAACATCTCCACTACGAGGAGAGGCTGAGGGAGGGCACAAATTGAAGCACAGGAAGTTCCGTCTGAGCATGAGGAAGAACTTCTTCCCTCTGAGGGTAACGGAGCACTGGAACAGGCTGCCCAGGGAGGCTGTGGAGTCTCCTTCTCCGGAGATATCCAAGACCCACCCGGACAAGGTCCTGTGCAGCCTACTGTACATGACCCTGCTTTGGCAGGAGGGTTGGACTAGATGACCCACAGAGGTCCCTTCCAACCCCTACTATTCTGTGATATTCTGTGATATTCTGTGAAAATGTTAAAAGAATTAGTGGGTGAATAGGTGGGGGCATAATCTTTTTTGTCATTACTATAACTAGCATCTGGTATTTCATTTTCATCACCCATTTAATGACTAACATAAGCATTTTACACTTTTTTTTTTTTATAAAAATGTAATATGTTTCCAA